AATCAAGCATCCTTTCCTCTTTAACACCTTTTGCTACCCATGACAAGATACAAACTTGTATCATGGTATATATAGCAAGGTTGTGCTGCATAGAGTAGGAGGTTGGGCTCAGTGGTGCATATCTGTAGTTACCAACTACTTAGGAGGTTGAAGCCCAGCAGGTTGAGGCTGCAGTGGCCGTGAGCGGCCACTGCATTCCAGTTTGGGCGACAGAGTGAGACTCCAACTCAAAAAAAAAAAAAAAAAAAAAACACTGCATGTATAAAGAGAGTAATGCATTATCATTTTATTAAAAATTCGGATAAAGCAAATAAAAATTTTTGAGTCACTGATAATTCCAAAAGATGATCATGTTACCATTTTGGTATAAAATTTTCCTAACTTTAAAAATCTGAATACATGGACTGACGTATACATATTTAACATATAGAAAATAACCTTTTCCTTTATAACTTGTCTTTTTCAACTATTTTTCTATTTGGGATTTTGAGATTATTTCGAGTTTTTCATTATTGTAAGCATTGCTGTGGTACACATCTTTGTGTAGACATCTTTGCACATTTGTCTGGTAACTTATGTTAGAGGAATTCTGGAAGCAGAATTTCTAGATCAAAAGGTGAGTTTGTTTTTAAAATTCCTGATCCATATTGTCTTGTGGCCCCTCAGGAAGGATGTACTATAAAAAGTTATTACCAAATACAAAAGTCTACTCTAAATGGAACAAAGATCTAAATGTAAAACCTCAAACTATGAGAACCTTAGAAAATGCAGGAGACACCCTTATGGAAATTGGAACTAGCAACAAATTCCTGATCAAAACCCCAAGTGCCCATGCCATAAAAGATAGATAGACAAGTGGGACTTCATCAAACTGACAAGCTTCTGCAAAGCAAAAGAAACCATCAAGAGAGCAGGGAGACAGCCCACAGACTAGGAAAAAATGTTTGCCAACTGTATGTCTGACAAAGGCCTAACATCTAGGATCTACAAGGAACTCAAATGTGCCAAGAAGAAAAAAACAAACAGCCCCATTACAAAGTGGGCAAAAGACATGAATAGGCACTTCTCAAAAGAAGATATATGAGCAGCCAACAGATACATGAAAAAATCCTCAGCCTCACTAGTTATCAAAGAAATGCAAATTAAAACCACACTAAGATACCACCTAACTCCAGTCAGGATGGCCATCATCAATAACTCAAAAAACAACAGATGCTGGAGAGGATGCAGGGAAAAGGGAACATTTCTACACTGTTGGTTGGAGTGTAAACTAGTACAACCTCTGTGGAAAACAGTTTGGCGATTCCTAAAAGGTGTAAAAATCGACCTTCCATATGACCCTGCAATCCCCCTACTGGGAATATACCCGGAGGAACTCAAATCACTCTATGAAAAACATACCTGCATATGCATGTTTATTGCAAAATTGTTCACAATAGCAAAAACATGGAACCAAACGTGCTACCCATCGAAAGATGTGGTACATATACATAATGAAATATTACACAGTCATAAAGGACAAAATTATGAACTTCACAGCAACTTGGATGGACTTAGAGTCTATAATACTGAGTGATCTATCACAGAAACAAAGAACTGAGTATCACATGTTCTCACTCATAAGTGGATATTGAACAATTATCATAATACTATGAAAAAAGGATTGTCAGCAGTGGGAAATTGCTGGGGG